GCCAACAACGAGGCAGACTTGGTCAAGGAAGCTGGCAAAGGTGGCGGAATCTATTGTCCCTACATCGCAATCAATGGGAGGGACCACTGGATTTTCACCGAAGTCGAAGAGCAGAACATTCCTGTTCCACCCACCTACAACGAAGTCGTTGCCGCTCCTAAATTTAGGAATGTAAGGTTTCAAAGTGCGAACCACAGGGATGAAGAGACGTTTTATTGGTCCCTGAAGCTGAGAGGCTCCACATGATGTATCGGATTTGGACCGCCTGCAATATCCTTGGTATCAAGGCAGAGCAGTTCAGAGGCATCAATCACCAGAAAGACATCGCCTTCGTAAGTGATACGATTTTCCGATGCATTGCCCTTGGCCTCAATTGCGACTACATGACCTTCTACCGAACAGATGTGCTCATTGGACGCAAGTTCTTGAAAGTTGATTTTGCTGCATAATTTGCGTTCAAGGCGTCAAAGAGGTTGACACTCCTCTTACCCAATGGTGCTGTCATCGCAATATACATCTGCCCTCGCGCTATATCGAGAAATAGATCGGACCCAGGAGACACCGCACTCTCTGTTAGAAAGGTTCCGGTGGAGGGCGAGTAGAAAGGCCATCACAGCATCATCGTACTGGTGATCAAACATTTCCAATACGATCTCTGGGGGATTAACTGGAGATTGCATTTTCTTCACAATGGGATCGTTGTACTCATCGTGCATGGTACCATGCTCAACCCAAAAGTATTTGCATGAGACTTGCATTTGTCACCACAGAACATTTTCATGTTTCCGTACAGTATCGTCATCGGCGACTACTATTCTGGAGATGCCAGGTATTTGGTGGTCAACGATTTTTCGATGCTACAAATTTTTATTGGACTGTTCTGGATCTGTACCATTACCTGATAGGTTGTTTGCTGCGTGTGCATCAATGCACATGAGGTCCGGTATGCGACCTGTAGCATTCTTGTTTCCTGTTAAGTGTACAGAACCTGGTCAAACTCGTGCAGAGACGTTTCAAAGAATTGAATAAGAAAAGCCGTGCGTCCACGCATGTCGGCATGTGTTTGTGGATGGTTCCTGACCCCGGGATGAACCCGAGCCCAGGATGGGGGATGCTAAGAATCTCCGGGCCACAGGCCAAAATCCTAAGGGCAGGTTCTGCGGCTGTTCTCTTCCCCTCCGTTAAGCCTCGAACCTTTGCGGTTTTGTGAACAGCCGACCCATGCATATGGATGCGTTGGCTCAAGTTCTTGATAAGTGGTTCAAGACAAATATCCAACGGAAAGCTGTAAAGAAGAAAAAGGGCCGTGCTCCGCTGTCGCAGTTAGTTCTTACAACCCCTATTTACAACGACCCCTACTATACGACTCCATTGTCGAGGGTAGTGGTCACCCCACGGGATTTGAACCCCAACTGCCTTGTCATGGACTACGTGGTTGACTCGCCTCCTGGTGGAGTAGTGGTGGTGACCGGTGGTGGTGTTGGTGGTGTTGGTGGTTTTGGTGCTGGCGGTGGTGGTGGTGATGGTGGGGCTGGTGGTGCTGGTGGTGTTGTTGGCGGTGGTGGCGGTGTTGGCGTTGTTGGCGCCGTTGGCGCCGTTGGTGTCGTTGGAGTCGTTGGCGTTTGCTGTGGCTGTGATTGTGAAAGTGGTTGTGGTTGTTGTTCTTCTTGTTGTTGTTGGTGTTGTTGTTGTTGTTGTTGTTGCTGTTGCTGTTGTTGTTGGTGTTGGTGTTGTTGGCGTTGTTGGCGTTGCTGGCTTGTTGTTGTTGTTGGCGTTGTTGGGCTTGTTGGGCTTGTTGGCGTTGTTGGCTTGTTGCTGTTGCTGTTGTTGTCGTTGTTGTTCTTGTTATGGTGGTTGTGGTGGTGATGGTTGTGGTTGTAGTTGTGGTTGTGGTTGTTGTTGTCGGTGGTGATGGTGTTGTTGTTGCTGTTGTCGGTGTTGTTGTTGTTGATGTTGGTTCGTTGGTTTGTCGGTTTGTTGGTTTGTTGGTTTCTTGGTTTGCTGGTTTGCTGGTTTGTTGGTTTGCTTGTTTGTTGGTTTGCTGGTATGCTGGTTTGCTGGTTTGCGGAATTGCTGGTTTGCGTGTCCAAAAAACTTGTTGGCTTGTTGATTTGTTGGTTTGTTGTTGCTGGTTGTTGATTGTTGGTTGTTGGTTGTTGGTTGATAAGTTTGGTTGTTGGTTGTTGGTTGTCGGTTGCGGCTGTTTGGTGTTTGGTGTTTTGTTGCTGTTTGGTGTTTGGTGTTTGGTGTTTCCTGTCTCTTGTTTGGTTTTCATTTTATGTTTGTTGTTTGGTTGTTGTTTGTTGTGTGGTGTTTGTCACTTGGTTGGTGTTTTTGATTGTTGTTTGATTCTTGTGCGGTTATTGTTGTTGTCGTTGTTGTCGTTGTCGTTGTTGTCGTCGTTGTTTGTCGTCGCCGTCGTCGTTGTTGTTATTTTGTTTCTGTTGTTTTTGTTGTTCTTTTTGTTGTTGTTGTTGTTGTTGGTTATTGTAGTTGTTGGTTGTTGCTTGTTGCTTGTCGCTTGTTGGTGGTTGTTGCTGGTGGTGGTTGGTTGGTTGTTGTTGGTCGCTTGTTGGTGGTTGGATGTTGTTGCTGTTGTTGTTGTGGTGGTGGTGGTGGTGGTTGTGTTGGTTTTGTTGGTTTGTTGGTCTGTTGGTCTGTTGGTCTGTTGGTTTGTTGGTTTGTTGGTTTGCTGGTTTGCTGGTTTGCTGGTTTGCTGCTTTGTTGGTTTGTTGGTTTGCTAATTTGCTAATTTGCTAATTTGCTAGTTTGCTGGTTTGTTGGGTTGTTGGTTTGTTGGTTTGTTGGTTTGCTAATTTGCTAATTTGCTAGTTTGCTGGTTTGTTGGGTTGTTGGTTTGTTGGTTTGTTGGGTTGTTGGGTTGTTGGGTTGTTGCTGCTGTTGCTGTTGCTGCTGTTGCTGCTGTTTTTTGCTGTTGTTGCTGTTGTTGCTGTTGTTGCTGTTGTTGCTGTTGCTGCTGTTGCTGCTGTTGCTGCTGTTGCTGCTGTTGCTGCTGTTGCTGCTGTTGCTGCTGTTGCTGCTGTTGGAGTTGGTGTTGGTGTTGGTGCTGGTGTTGGTGTTGGTGTTGGTGTTGTTGGTGTTGCGGGTGTTGTTGTTGGTGTTGTCGTTGTTGTTGACGTCGTTGATGTTGTTGTTGTTGTTGTTGTTGTTGTTGTTGTTGTTGTTGTTGTTGTTGTTGTTGTTGTTGTTGTTGTTGTTGTTGTTCTTGTTCTTGTTCTTGTTCTTGTTCTTGTTCTTGTTCTTGTTCTTGTTCTTGTTGGTGTTGTTGTTCTTGTTCTTGTTCTTGTTGTTGTCAGCGGACCAGAAACCGCGCCCAACAGCGTGCACTTTTTTCTACAACCCTGCAAAGCGCCCGCTCGACTGCTTCGCCCTGGCACTGCGCGCGATCGCGTGACCATGGTAAGGACACCCGCTTGACTGCTTTGCTATGACATCGCACGCGCGCCTGACCATTGTAAGCACACCCGACTCCTTCGCGAAAGAACTGCGCGCCTGCCTGGCCATGGAAGCACACCCGCTCGACTGCTTCGTTTTGGCACTGTGCGCACGCCTGACCATGATAAGCACACCCGCCCGGCAGCTTCGTTGTGGCACTGCGCGTGCGCCTGACCATGGGAAGCACACCCGCTGCGCGCACACCTGACCATGGTAAGGATACCCGCCACTGCGCACACGCCTGACAATGGTCAGCGCCCGCTCGACTGCTTTGTTACACTGCGCGCGCTTGGCCATGGGAAGCACGCCCGCTCGACTGCAGCGTTATAGCACTACGCGCACGCCTGACCAATGTAAGCATACCCGCTCGACTGCTTTGTTATAGCGCTGCGCGCACGCCTGACAAGGGTAACGCCCGTTTGACTGCTTCGCCTGAGCACTGCGCGCACGCCTGACCGGGGTAACACCCGCTCGACTGCTTCGTTATTCCACGGCGCACACTCCTGACCATGGTAAGCACACCCGCTCGGCTGCTTCGTTATAGCACTGCGCGCACGCTGAATCAGCTAATCACGGGCTGGGAGGGTTTGCCGAAGATGTTTTTCGGGAACGCGAAAAGGTTGTCTGCCATGCTGACATGATAGACTCTATGTGGTCAAGCTGCAGAGCATATGTTCCGAATTCGCTGCCTTCGTGCAGCCCACATGTCCTTTTGTATGTAAAGTCTTGGCAGTGGCGCTATGTCTTGCGCCAGCGAGATGTGGAGCAGCAGACTGTCGTTGCGATCGCAAAGATGTTAGAAAGGAGAAGGCAGGGAATGGGCGATACAATTTGCGTTTCGCCTCAGCGAAACGCAAAACGCTCTAAAACTGAGCCCTCTTTTTCGGAGGTTTTTTGGGGACGGCGAGACGCAAGTTGTTTCAGAGAAGCGGCGATTCGCGAGCGCGGTGTTCGGTCCGCCGGGCTGTTCTTGTTCTTGTTCTTGTTGTTCTTGTTCTTGTTCTTCTTGTTCTTGTTGTCGTTCTTGTTGTTCTTCTTGCTGTTGTTCTTGGCACTTGGCTGTTCAGCTGCCCCCAGCAGGCGTGTCACTTTTGATGTTGCACTCTTAGCAATCTCCCACACCTGCCACGCGGGCAACAAATCACAGTTCCGCATTTGGTCCACGAAGGTGTTCCTTTCGCACATTCCGCGTCACTGTTCATGTCACATTCTCAGAAGTTTCCGCCGCACCTGCTACGCGCATGTCGCTCAAATGCACCCATGCCTGGCACATGGTAAGCACCCGCCAAATGCACCATGCCTGGCACATGATAAGCACACCCGCCCACGTGCATGTCGCCCAAATGCACCCATGCCTGGCACATGGTGAGCACACCCGCCCATGCGCCTCAAATGCATCCATGCCTGGCACATGAGCACACCCGCCCATGCACGTATTACTCAAAGCTGGCGGTGGCTGCTGTTGCTACTGGCGGTGGTGGTGCTGCTGCTGTTGCTTCGTGAAAGCCAAATTGTTGCTTGCACATTGTGGCCGCCAACCCGAGGCCGTCGCTACTGGTCAATCCATTCGGTGCTGAATCCTATGATGGCCCTGTCGGCGCATACTAGAAAATTCATAATCTGGCTTTGGGCATATGGTGATATTAAATTAATATTCGAATTTATTGAAATTAATTCTGAATATGATTTTATATAGATTTTTGTTGGATTATTTTGGCAGGTTTTGTTGATTTTGTTATGGCGTTGTGTAATATTATTTTTTGATTGAATTATTATTGAGATAAATATTTTAGTATTTACAAATTTTGTTTTGAATTTGTTTTAAATTTTTGGATTTTGAGTCTTGAGATTTATATTATTTTTTTTGGAAAATTAAACATTTAGTTTGAAAATTGGTATTTGTAAAATATGAAATTTTGAGTGATTGAAAGAAGATGTATTGAGAATAATATAAGAAATTGAAAATGAAATGATATATGTATTAATAAAGAATATGTTTTCCCGATTATTTAATGATCTCGAATATATTGGGGATATGATTATTGATATATTATTATTATTTATGTTTTTTTCGGTTTGTTTTTGTATATAGTATATATGTTTTGTATTTTTGAAAATTTAGATTAGAATGGTTTATTTTCTATTATTAATAATTCTTGTTTTTTAAATATTGAATTTTGGATTTAATATATATTTATGGATTTGTATTTGGGGGTATAATTAAAGTATATGGTTAATTTTACCCTTATTGTTGAAATAATTAATATTCTTTTGGTTGAATTCCGGGTAAGTATTTGAAGATAATTATTTGAATTTTATATATATTATATAAATTATATATGTGTTAATGATATATTATTTATATATGTTCTATGTATGTATTTATATGTTTTGAAAAAATACATATAACCCAGGAAAAATATATAAGATTATAAATAATTTATAAAATTTAAAAATATCTAAATATATATATATAAATATATATAATATATAAAGAATATGTATAAAAATACATAAAATACATATAAATAATTTGTAGAATATTTATAAAATAACCATAAAAACATAGGATATTTATGGAAATAAATATTGAATAAAATAGTTATATAAATTTTAGAATATATTAAGGGCTATATATAATATACAATATGTATTTTATAGATTTGTTATTAATGGATATGGGTGTATTTGCGAATGGAAAAAGGGAATCATTAACCCTGACCATGATTAATAGCAAATATACAATAACTAAGGACCGTAAGCAATACTAAATTTAGGATTGGTAGTGCTAAACTAGGTTCTATATAAATCTTTATAATATAAAATTTAATAGTAGGGAATAATCCTATTCTAGGAAATTCAAATAAAAATTCGAAGATATCTAGAATCTTAAAAATATATATAATAAATACAAATAATTTTAGAAATAAAAATGAGAAAACCAAATAATAATATGTTAATAACCAATTCCCAAATAAATCTCGTTTGAAATTATATGGTGCGAATTCAATTTCAAAGAAACATAAGTATTCAAAAATATAAGAAACAAACACACACACATAATAAGATTTGGAGTTGATATGATTTCTTTTTGCGTTATTAGGTTTTTGCGAATTTTCGGGTTGTCGTTTTTTCGGATTTATCGTATTAGTTGTGTTTTCCAGATGTTTTGCATTTTTGTGGCGTTTGTTGAATGTTCATGCGTTGCGCTTGTCGTTCAAATGTTTTTTTTCCCCGAATTTGAGTTTTGAATATTCATTTGTGTTCTTTGAATTTTCGTATATATCGTATTTTTCGATATGTTAAATGCTTAATATTTATCATATTATTATTTAATGAATTTTAGCATTTACAAATTTTATCTTTAATCAATTATTTAAATAAATATTCTAATAATATATTTGTTTATAGTATATTTCCTACTAAAATTCGCGAAACGTTTAGATTGTTCAATATGTTATTAGTTGTTTATGTTTCCCGATTTAAATAAAATACACGATAATATAATAGATTAAATCTTCCAAGAAAACCTAAATCAAGGCAAACTCCTAAAGAACCTCGATCGAAAATTCACAAAAATCAAAAATACAAAAACAATCCACCCCCGAATTTATAGTCGACCACCTCGGGACCCAAGGTTAAAGTCGATCGTCTCGGGGCCCGAAATTAGGGTCGAGCGCCTCGGGGTCCGAGGTTATAATCGACCTTCTCGGGGTCCGAGGTGGTGGTCGATCATCTTGGGGTCCACCTCGGGGCCCGAGGCTGTGGTCGACCCTCGGACCAAGATTATAATCGACCACCTCGAGGCCCGAATTTAGGGTCGACCACATCGAGGCTCGAGACATAGCCACGCAACCCATTAGTGGCTACGCCATTTAATCGCTCATTTATTTTGTTATTTAATCATTTAATTATCCACCCATCCATTTGGTCACCCAATCATTCTATCGTTTATCCATTTGCTTAGCCACTCAATCGTTCAAGCCACTCAGCCGCTCAAGCCACTTAGCCGCTCGGTCGCTCAACCGCCTCGATCGCTCATCCACCATAAGTCCTCAGCCACCTAGCCACTCAGCCACTCATTCAGCCACTTGTCCGCTTAGCTACTTATCTACGGTCAAGTGGCGTGCTTTTTTTCTCAATCTAAATGATTGCCCAACAAAACGTTACACAAACATTCCAAATATTAATAAGTCGCTGGAATAATACAAGCAATGGAGGAAAAAAATCGAAGGGGAGCTATGAAAGCGTGTAGCCATGTGTTGTGTAATGCAAAGTGTTATTCGAAATTTTAGGAAAGTGTTTATATATCTTAGCATTTTATTAATGGATATCTTATATTAGATAATGTTTTATGAGTATTAACATATTTAGCACCTTGATAAATTCGTTAATTTCGCTCGACTAGAAGGGGGGAGAGATGTGGCCGGGCAAAACCAGATATTTGCATAACATAAAAATATATTATATTTAAATAAAATTAAATATCTATTATATTAAAAAATATTTTCGGGGAAGGAGGGAAAGGGAAAGCGAGGGAGGGCAGAATTGTAAGTGCTACTTATTTTTCAAAATAAAAAAATTATGAATTTAGTTGTATATATTAATAATAAAAATTAAAAATTAGGAATAAAATATGTTTTAAAATATAATATTTATTTCGAGAAAATAAATAATTGCGATTTTAAACCTTTGCCTTGGACCCTGCCCAAATACAACATTTTAAAAAGATTGTGTGTTACACTGAATTAGAGACCAAATTCGATATTTTTTTCAGACGAATTATAGATAGAATTTCTCAGCAACACCTCAATATACTTCCTAAAACATTACGATACACAAAATAACAATGTGTCTCAAATGCCCGATATCAACATATAAACATTTAATCATTTAATCTTATAAAAAAAAAAATGTTCGCCTAAATATAAATAAAATTAAGCTAATTTCGCTTAAATTATTTAGAAAAATACCGCTAATCATAAGAAATATCGTCAAATTCTCGCAAAACGGGCACAATATTTCATCCAAAATAGTAATAAAATATCTAAATAAACCGTTTCATAATAAAACATACCTAATACGATTTCAATCAATCTAAAAAATCATATATTCGAATCTCTTAAACTAAACCGAAATCGGCCAACTTCACCATCTTATCATTTAAATACCCATTTATAACACCCTATATTAAAGCTAAACCAAAAACATATCGAAACACAAAATTTCGATTTCAATTTTAAAATAAACCATTCCACCCCTCTAAAAAATTATTTCTTATTCCTCCATAAATCTTTCAACCAAAACAAACCAATACAATAGATCCAAAAATCGAATCAAAACAACAACCAAAAGGTTTTCAAGCTTCATACCCCAATAAACCATATCAATAACCTCTATCTCTAAATTATTCCAATTTAGAAAAATCCAGCCTATTCAAGAAAAATATAATATGTTAAACCTTACTCTTAAATAATATATATACCTAAATATAATATCCTCCAAAAACAAACAAAAACAAACAAACAAACAAACAAACAAAAGACACAGACAAAGACAAAACAAAAACAAACACAGAGACAAAGACAGACACAGACACAAATACAAACACAAACAGCGCAGACACACAGACACACAGACACACAGACACACAGACACACAGACACACAGACACACAGACACACAGACACACAGACACACAGACACACAGACACACAGACACACAGACACACAGACACACAGACACACAGACACACAGACACACAGACACACACACACAGACACACACACAGACACAGACACACAGACACACAGACACACAGACACACACACACAGACACAGACACACACAGACACACAGACACACAGACACACAGACACACAGACACACAGACACACAGACACACAGACACACAGACACACAGACACAGACACACAAACACAGACAGACAGACACAGACAGACAGACACAAACAGACAGACACAGACACAGAGACACAGAGACACAGAGACACAGAGACACAGAGACACAGAGACACAGAGACCCAGACACAGACACAAACAGACACAGACACAGACACAGACACAGACAGACACAGACAGACACAGACACAAACAGACAGACACAGACACAGACACAGACAGACACAGACAGACAGACAAACAAAGAAACAGATACCAGAGACAGAGAGGCCAACAGACAAAGAGAGACAGAGAAAGACAGCGACAGAGAGACAGAGACAAAAAGAGACACACCTCCGGCGCGCAGCACACACAAACAAACAAACAGACAAACAAACAAACAGACAAACAGACAAACAAAAAGACAGAGACAAAGACACAGACACAGACAAAAACAAACACAGAGACAAAGACAGACACAGACACAAACACAGACACACAGACACAGACACACAGACACACAGACACAGACACACAAACACAGACAGACAGACACAGACAGACAGACACAAACAGACAGACACAGACAGACAGACACAAACAGACAGACACAAACAGACAGACACAGACACAGAGACACAGAGAAACAGAGAAACAGAGAAACAGACACAGACACAAAACAGACACAAACAGACACAGACACAGACACAGACACAGACAGACA